GGGGATAGAACTCAGGACCTTGTGCTAGTGAGGCAGGCGGTGGAACCACTGAGCTAAATCCCCAGCCCCCAAATTATGGATTCTTGAACCGGTCACAGGTGCCTGTGTGACCAGTGCGCAGCATAGGTGGAAGGTACACAGGAGATGAACCCCCGGGAGCCCTGCAACACCCCATCCCGTTCTCAGGGCCTGGCGGGGCTGGGGATAGAACTCAGGACCTTGTGCTAGTGAGGCAGGCGGTGGAACCACTGAGCTAAATCCCCAGCCCCCAAATTATGGATTCTTGAACCGGTCACAGGTGCCTGTGTGACCAGTGCGCAGCATAGGTGGAAGGTACACAGGAGATGAACCCCCGGGAGCCCTGCAACACCCCATCCCGTTCTCAGGGCCTGGCGGGGCTGGCTCGGGGCCTGTGCTGCGCAGGGCCCAGGCAGTGGGTGTTGGAGGCCACAGAGACCGACCCTGTGAGCAGGGGAACCTCAGGAGGCTGGGTGGGAAGAGCCTGTGAGTGGCAGCAGGAGCAGCAAGACCTTGCAGCGTGACAGATGCACTGGAAGACAGATGGATGGATGGGCTGGTGGACAGACAGACAGAGCAGCCAGGAGACGTCTACCTGGAAAGTGATGGATGTGACCCAGGGAGGGCTGAGGGTCGGGGCAGGGAGGAAGTAAGGACGGACAGATTGACAGATGAGGGAGACAGATGAGAAGGCAAGGGTGGATGCGTGGGGGCCTGGGTGAGTGACGAGAGGCCCTGCTGAGCAGGAGGACAGGATCTTGCTGGGATGGGTGAGGACAGACTGCTCACTGCTGGGCTGGCAACCGGCAGACAGACAGACAGACAGATTCATGCATGGGAGTGTGGGTGGACAGGCTTAGGGCTGGGTGGGAGTGAGCGGGGTCCCCTGGGACTGGCGGGGACATGGGTGGACAGAAAGAGGGAGCCAGCACAGGGAGGGCCACGGGATGGGGAGGAGTCCCAGGCCTGTCCCCAGGAGGTCCCGAGAGACCCGCGACCTGGCCATTGGGGTGTGTCGGGGACACACTTGTGAGTGTGCGTGACCTAGGGTGGCGTGTGAATGGCGCCTGGAGCGTGGCTGAGTCCAGATGGTCTTTTCTGGGGAGCGTGGCAGGAAGGGGCCGGGGCAGATCCCACGGTGAACGGGCCTGTGTGTGGGTGTTGGCAGGGACCAGAGGAGGCTGGGGCAAGTTGGGGGTTTTGGAGGCCGAAAGCAAACAGGGCCGCTTCCCCGGCCCTTTCTCCCCTTCTGAGCCTCCACCAGGCCAGCAGCCAAACCGTCAGGACTCTGTAAAAGTGGCACCTGGCAGGTACTGTGCCAAGCCTGGCCCCCAAGTATAAAAATGCTAAGTGATAAAAGTGGTCACAGCGGACGCTGCTGGAGTAGCTGCCACGTGTCCGGCGTCGTGCCAAGCTCTCCTGCTTCCTTGACCCCCCAGAAGGTGGGTAGCACATTACTTTACCCCCCTGGCAGAAGAGAAAGCACACGCTCCGGGCTGTGCAGGGCCACCCCAGCGTCTCACCGTAAGCGGAGGCCCTGGGAAGCTGGGGTGTGCCCTCAGCCTCCGGCCAGCCTCAGCTCAGTCTCCCTGCCCACGGGACACTGGCTGTCAGGCTGAGCCGTCAGAAACCAGTGCAGGGAGAGACCAGGCTGAGAAGGCGGAGAAAGCTTGGAAGGCTGTAGTGTGAGGGAGCCGTGAGGCCCAAATGAGGAGCTGGTTCTCATTCTGGCTTAGCCACCAACCTGTGCAACTCTGAGCCAGTTAATTCAGCAGCGGAAGCTTCCGTTTCCTTGTCTGTGACCCAGGGATTTGCCAGTCACAGCAGCTATCGTGGGGGTGAAACAAGATAATGCGGGAAGATCCCAGGCCCAGAGCAGGGGATTCTGGGACTTGCAAAGGCTGCTGCCTGGAGGCCCTGGGCTCCGGCTGCCCCACCTCTGCAGCAGTAGAACCCCCCACGGGTCGTTGGGACCTCCTTAGCCTGTCCTGGGCCAGTAAGTGTGACACCAGGAATCGTGCCCGGTATATATGGTGACCTGCGCTCTCTCCTCCGGGCTCCGAGATTCCTCGTGGGGAGTGGGAGAGCAGCAGGAAAGGGGGAGCGAGCCTGTTGGTGATGGCAGACAGGGTGATCGGGAAAAGGTCGCAAGAGACCCACACTGCCGACAGGGCTCTGAAAGAGTTAGGGGGAGTCCGCCTGGAAGCTTTAGGGGGTAAAAAGTGACCCAGGCAGAGAGAACCGTGAGCAGAAGCGCCCTGAGCAGGATGGCCCTGCTTCTGTTTGCAAGTTTGCTTATTGCGGATCTGTGGACTTTGGGTGCTGCGGTGGGAAGTGATGGGACAGAGGAATAAGTAATCCAGAGAGTGAGGGACCTGCTGCGAGCCAGGAAGCCGGTGCACCCGCCCTCGCGTTGTTCGTGGGACCTCCAGCAAGCCCCTGCCCCTCTGGGCCCGTTTCCCCTGTGTAAAACAGAACCTGGACTTCACCCCGAAGACTCCACACGTGTTCAAGGTGTCCAAGGGAGAGCTGGGCGATGAGGGTGGTGGGAAAAGCCAGGTTTTGGAGATGCTTCTGCCTTTTCTGCCCGCTGACCTTGACCAAAGGACTCCACCTTCTCAGCACCTCAAGGGTCTCACCTGTAAAATGGGGACAGAGTCCGAACTTCTCAGAGCATTTGTGTGCAGGGGATGAGGCAGGGCTTTGGGACCCCGGCATCCAGGCTCAACCTAGTGGGCACTGCTTTTGCTTTGTTTTTTAAAAATATGTGGGCTGTGGGGCGTAGTGGCGCACGCCTGTAATCTCAGCACTCGGGAGGCTGAGGCAGGAGGATCGCTGCGAATTCAAGACCTGCTTGGGCTACATTGTGAGTTCCAGGTCAGCTTCAATTATATAGTGAGACCCCGTCTCTCAAAA